GGCGGGGAAGAAACGAAAGCGGAGCCGGGGTCCGTGGCGGGGACGACTCCCGGCGCCCCGGGAGGGCCGGGCACACGGGCGAGGGGCTGGCGGCTGCCCGCGCTTCGGAGCGGAGGCGCTCCCGGGCCCGCCCGCCGGCGGAGCCGAGGGAACGCTCCCCGCACCTTCCCGGCGGCCGCCGACAACGGCACCGGGCCGCCGGCGGCGCGGCCCCGCCGGAGCTCTCCGGCCCGGTGCGCAGCCCGCCACGGCGCTCAGCGGAGCCGGTGGACGGGTCGAGCACAGCCCGCGTTATTTTCCGCAGCGGAGCAGCCGTGCGGGGCTGCGGAGAGCGCTCCGAGCCCGGTGCCGGGGCAGGGGAGCCGGCCGGGCAGGCGGCCGCCCGTGCTCTCCGCCGCCGCTTCTCGATCCCGAGGCACGGAGGAGCGGAGCGAAATAAAACGATGTGGAAAGAAGGAAAGGCATTTTATTGGAGACTTTACAATGCTAGACAGTACAATAAAAGTGCTAGTTCACTCTAGAAAAGTTGGTCCCAAAATGGTACTATGCCACAGCATCTATCAGCTTACATAAACATTTATAAAATCGCTATGAACTGGCCCCTGTATTATAAATGCTATTTTTTTTTCACATTAATCTATGTAAAATCGAAGGATCAAAACGTTTTAAGAAAAAGGGCAAGCATTCAAAAGCAGAACCTACCGGAAAATCCATTTTGGGCCAGGTTTGGGGTGAAAAAAAAAAAACCGAAGATAGTTTAAACTTTCATTATTATTTATAATATGCACACGGAAAAATATTCCAATTTATAGGAAACCGTCTTTTTTTTTTTTTTCTATAACATCAAAATATTTTTTTAGACCTGTATAAAATTACTTTTAAGACCTCAGAGGACATTGTCTCCTTTAAAAAATACATTTACTGCTGCCGAAACGTTTCACGAGTGACCCTGGCGGGTTTTGTTTGTTGGTTTCTAAAAACCAGGATATCGCACATCTCCTGCTGTTACAGCAGTCCCCACATAAGTACTATTTTAACGAAAAGGCACAGCTCGGAAGAAGCGTAGTGCTTTGCAGACCGAGGAAGAAAGAGAAGATGAAGAGGAGGAGGAGGAGGAGGACGAGCACCGCGGGCACACGGCAGTGTCTAGGCCCCGCCACGCGTGGAAATGCCTCCCCTATTTACAAGCTCCGCTTTAGTCTCTCCAAGGCTGAGCCCGAAAAGATTACGGCCGAATTATAAACGAGAATTTTGCGGGCTAAACAGCCTATTTTTCATTACATGCTCCCTCCCCCCCAAACAAACAAACGGACAGACAGACGGACACAGGAGCAGAGAAGCGATGGGTAAATCCGAGCTCGCCCCGCCGGGGAAGCTCCCACACTTACACTGCCTTCTCCTCACGGTAGGACGGGCTCCTACACTTACACTACACGCGGAGCAGGGCTGCCGCTTCCCCGCCGCGACAGTTTGGGCACAGGGAGAGGAAAGTCCGCGGCTTAGAGAGGAGGAGAGACAGGAGAGCGCAGGAGAACGCGGCGGGATCCCCGAGGGGCGGCGGGAGCGGGGCAAGGACATTTCCGCGGCGGCGGCGGCCGGCCGGAGCCTCCCTAGATGTCTATGCGGGAGTGCAGGGCGCTGTGTTTGCTGTCGTGCTCCCAGTAGGAACAGTGCATCATGGACAGCTCGGCGGGCTGGCGGGCGCAGGCGAACTGGAGGCCGGCTCCGTTCGCGGCCGGGGCCGCGGGCGGCGCGGGGCTGGCCGGGCTGAGCTGCTGGGGGTGGTGGGCGTGCGGGTGGTGGTGGTGGTGGCCCATGCCGTTGTAGGAGTTCACCATGCTGGGCAGCGCCATGCTCTGCACCCGCGAGTAAGGGCTGTAGGACGCCGGGCCCGAGAGTCCTTTCACATTGACGGGGCTGACGTTCCCGCCAGACATCTGGCAGGAGGTGTAGGGCATGGGCGCGGGGGGCTGCGCCAGCGGCCACGAGTTGTTCATGAAGGTGGACTGCAAGTACTTGGGCGGGGAGAGGTAGCCGTAGCTGTCCGGGCTGAAGAGGGTCTTGCCGGGCTGGAAGTGGGTCGGGGGCGGCCGGAAGGGCCGCTTCATCCTTCGTCTCCTGCGGTAGTTGCCCTTCTCGAACATGTCCTCGCAGGCCGGGTCCAGCGTCCAGTAGTTGCCCTTGCGCTCGCCGCCGCCCTCCCGGGGCACCTTGATGAAGCACTCGTTGAGGCTGAGGTTGTGGCGGATGCTGTTCTGCCAGCCCTTCTTGTTCTTCTCGTAGAAAGGGAACTTGCTGATGATGTACTGGTAGATCCCGGACAGCGTGAGCCTCTTCTCCGCGCTCTCCCGGATGGCCATGGCGATCAGGGCCACGTAGGAGTAGGGGGGCTTCTGCGAGGGGTCCGGCTTCTCGGGGCCCTTGTCGGCGCTCAGCTCCTCCTTGCCCCGCTCCGGCTCCTTGCCGGCGCCGGTGTTATGAGCCAGCAGCGCCACCGTGTCCTCCTCGCCCTCCGGGTAGCCGCTCATCATGGTGCCCCGCGTCCCGCCGCCCCGCTGCCCGGGGGCACCGTGCGGAGCGCTGCCCGGTGCGCGCTGCGCGGAGCCCGGTGCCGGCGGCCGTCCCGCCCCGAGCTCGCCGGGACCGGGGCCGGGGTGGAAAGTCGAAGCCGGGAGCCGGACGGAGATCGGGAGGCGTCTCTGGCGGCGCCGCTGCTCCGTGCGGCGCGGCGGCGG